CCACACAGCTTGGTGTTGTCAGCAAACTTACCAAGGGTGCACTCAGTCCCACTGTCCATGTTGCCAACAAAGGTGTAAATAGCACTCGTCCCAATACCGACCCTTGAGGAATGACACTCGTCACTGGTCTCCACTCAGACATCGAGCTGTTGACCATGACTCTTTTGAGTGCGACCATCCAGCCAATTCCTGATCTACTGGTTGGTCCATCCATCAAATCCATGTCTCGCCAGTTTAGAGACAAGGATGCTGTGCAGTACAGTGTCAAATGCTTTGCACAAGTCCAGGTAGGTGATGTCAGTTGCTCTTCCCTTATTCACCAATACTGTAGCTCCATAGTAGAAGGCCACCAAACTTGTCAGGCACGATTTGCCCTTAGTGAAGCCATGTTGGCTGTCACCAGTCACCTCCTTATTTTCCATGTGCCCTAGCAGAGTTTCCAGGACCATCCGCTGCATTATCTTGCCAGGCACATAGGTGTGCCTGACTGGCCTGTCATTTCCCGGGTCTTCCTTTTTTCCCTTTTTTAAAAAAGAGGTTATGTTTCCCCTTTTCCAGTCTGCAGGAACTTCACCAGACTGCCACAACTTCTCAAATATGATGGATAGTGGCTTAGCCACTTCATCCGCTGGTTTCCTCAGGACCTGCAGGTGCATCTCATCAGATGCTATTGACTTGTGCACTTTCAGGTTCCTTAGATGGCCTCAAACCTGATCATCTCTATGGTGGGCTGGTTTTCGTTCTCCTAGTCTGTGCCTTTGCCGTCTGATACTTGGGCAGTGTGGCTAGAGTACTTACCGGTCAAGACTGAGGCAAAAAAAGTCATTGAGTACCTCAGCCTTCTCAATATCCCAGGTAACCAGGTATCCTGTTTCCTTCTGGAGAGGGCCAACATTTTCCCTAGTCTTTTATCACTGAAGGTTTTATCCCTGATTTTTTTTATGAAGTCTATTAGTTTTATCCTGTTCCTCACACTCTGCTTTACTTAGAACACACAGTGAGAAACTTTGTCCAATGGGCCAAATTCAACTCGCCAGAGCAATTCATCATGTCCAAATCCTTGATACCCACTCTCCTAAAGACCCTTTGGATAAAAACTGAAAGCAGGCTGCAGTATGGTTAAATGGTATTAGTAGCCCATTTCCTCATGGTGGTTCCCTTTCTATCCCAAAGTTTTGTACCATCTTCACGTCACATGGTGAAAGCATATGTGTTTTGTTATATCAGGTTGATGTATATCTCTTATCTCATCAAAATACAGCTATTATCATTATGTTCCTGGATGTGAACCCATTATACAGGTACAGGAAATACTGGTATTTTGATCATGTGTTACAGAATCACAGAACAGTAGGGGTTGGAAGGGACCTCTGGAGATCATCTAGTCACCTACTAGGGTGTAGGGTCACCTACAGCAGGTTGCCCAGGATCATGTCCAGGCAGGTTTTGAGTATCTCCAGAGAAGGAGACTCCGCTCTCTGGACAGCCTGTTCCAGTGTTCTGCCACCCTCAGAGTAAAGAAGTTTTTCCTCATGTTCGGGTGGAACTTCCTGTGCTCCAGTTAGTGCCCATTGCCCCTTGTCCTGTCACTGGGCACCACTGAAAAGAGCCTGGCCCCATCCTCTTGACACCCACCCTTTAGATATTTATAAGAGTTGATAAGGTCCCCTCTCAGCCTTCTCTTCTCCAGGCCAAACAGACCCAGGTCTGTCAGCCTTTCCTCATAGGAGAGATGCTCCAGTCCCCTCATCATCTTTGTAGCCCTCCGCTGGACTCTCTCCAGTAGTCCCTTGCCTCTCTGTAACTGGGGGGCCCAGAACTGGACACAGTACTGCAGATGTGGCCTCACCAGGGCAGAGTAGAGGGGGAGGAGACCATCCCTCAACCTGCTGGCCACACTTTTCTTCGATGACCCCAGGATACCATTGGTCTTCTTGTCCACAAGGACATGTTGCTGGCTCACAGTTAACTTGCTGTCCACCAGAACTCCCAGGTCCCTCTCCACAGAGCTGCTCTCCAGCAGGTCGACCCCCAACCTGTACTGGTGCGTGGGGTTATTCCTCCCCAAGTGCAGGGCTCTACACTTGCCCTTATTGTATTTCACTACATTTCTCTCCACCCAGCTATCCAGCCTGCCCAGGTCTCGGGGTATGGCAGCACAGCCTTCTGGCATGTCAGCCACTCCTCCCAGTTTAGTGTCATCAGCAAACTCACTGAGGGTGCACTCTGTCCCTTCGTCCAGGTCATTGATGAATATGTTGAATAAGACCAAATCCAGTACTGACCCTTGGGGAACACCACTAGCCACAGGCCTCCAGCTGGACTGCGCCACTGATGACAACCCTCTGAGCTCTGTCACTGTCAGTTCTCAATCCACCTCCCTGTCCACTTGTCTATCCTACATTTCCTAAGCTTACCTTAGGGGGTGTGGTGGGAGACATTAGATACATTTCAGGTCATGTGATAAGAAAGAAGTCAATGTTTTTTCAGCACATGCATGAAAGCCTATGTGGTCTGCCTCTGCCAGAAAGATTCACTGTTACAACTTTGCTTAGTGCTCACTTTCACATATTGCTTTCCATCTTTAGAGTCTGAGCCCAGTTTTAGTGAGTTCTTCCCTTCTAGTCAAAGCTGAAATGAGAAGTGCTATTCTTCTAGTAGCTTCCTGCAATTTCTGAAACACAAAGGTACTTTTGACTGTGGGAATACACATACTGTATTCCTAGCCAATGGCTGGGTAAAGTCCCCCAATGGTGATTAGTTACCATCATATCAGCTCTTGGATGGTGGCTCAGGAAGAGGTTCATTCAGCTCCTCCTTTCTACCTGGTCTGTTGTTGATTGCTCTCAAGACAGCAACCTCATGGTTTCTCTTTGCTCCTTCTTACCCTGCCTTTCCTCATTGCTTCCTTCATTTTCAGAATTCAATCCTGTTCTTCAGTGCAGAACCACTTACATTGTAACCAGTTTCGTGGAAAGACTTCCCTCCTGGGGGTTGTTTTGTTGGGTTTTTATGCCTTTGTCTTTGTTACAGCTTTACTGCAGTTCTGTGATCTCTTGTCTCCAAAGCTATAGCAGTATTTCTTTTTAATTTTTTGTGAGCCTTAGCCTCTGTTCTTCTTCAAAGCCTCTCTTACTGCACTGAATTTGAGTCCTAAAACTCTCTTCCCTTTTATTACTGTGTGAAATCTTTCTCTTCCTGACATTAGGTTTTTGTGGAATGCTGTCCCATGTGTGTGTCTCCAGGATTTATCTTCTCTGCCTGGTCAGAAAATTCTATTCAACAATTTTGTGACCCATGGCCTGGAATCCTTTAGCCTTGCACCCGCAGTTAATCCTTATACATCCACGGTCAGACCTAGCAGTCTGACGTAGCAGTGTCATTAGGGATCTCATGAACAGGCCATGACAAATTTCCCTTGTTGTCTTTGCCACTGGATCCATGTGGGCAGCCCATTTCCCATGCTGACAGGTGAGTATGTCAGATGTATGTCTGTCATGGTGGCAGCCGTGACATTTGCAGCTTTGAGACTTTTGCATCTCTTCCTTCCTGGCCAATCTAGGATACCACGATAATAACCTGCATAAGCCTTTAATGGAATTCAGCTTCCATGAACTCACTGTCCTTATGCCAGCCACAGGCCAGCTATCTCTACCTTCTAATATTTTCCGTTATTACCCAGTTTTCCTTACATGTTTCTTCTCATTATTCTGTTGACCATTAGTTTGAGGAGCACAAGGTTATCTTGCGGTCCAATATTGCATGGCAATGAAAGATAGGGAATAGGAGAAGATGGAAAAAATACCATTTACTTCTGTAACTGTATTATTGAACTGCTTGATGTATTTTGTGTTTCTCCTTGTATTAGTGACACATTGCAAGACAAAATTGATAAGCACACACTTTATTGAGGATAAAATACAGGAAACTTAGAACCACAGATTTTGCTTCCAGAGGTGTTTATGGATTCTAATGTCTCGTAAAATTGTATGATGCTGCATTTTTCCTTCTGTTGCTTTCTCTTTTTTTCTCCCCCTCGCAGAAATCATTATAGGTTTGGTGTCTTGGAAGTATGGAATCAATCTCTATGATGGGAAGTCCTAAGAACCTCAATGAAACTTTTCTACCAAATGTTGCCAATGGCGTCAAGGATGCCAGTAAGATCACAATAGGCATCATTGGAAGTGGAGACTTTGCTAAGTCATTGACAATTAGACTTATCAGATGCGGGTACCACGTGGTCGTAGGAAGCAGAAACCCTAAACTTGCTGCTGAGTTTTTTCCCCATGTGGTTGATGTCACTCACCATGAAGATGCAGTAGCAAAAACAAACATAATTTTTGTAGCCATACACAGAGAACATTACACCTCTTTGTGGGACCTTAAACATTTACTCGCTGGGAAAATCCTGATTGATGTCAGCAATAATACAAGAGTCGATCAATATCCGGACTCCAATGCAGAGTATTTGGCATCACTTTTCCCAGATTCCCTGATTGTCAAAGGATTCAATGTCGTTTCAGCTTGGTCACTGCAGTTAGGACCAAAGGATGCCAGCAGACAGGTAAATGTTATACTTGTATTAATTTAACTTGTTTGTAAGATGAAAAGGAATTGAATGTAAGCAGCCAGAACTCATGGGATTCATCCTGCCTGACTTAACATACTTAAAATGTTGGGCCTTTAGTTTATGTTTTAGTAGCTAATAAAACTTTCAGAGTCTACTTCATCCCACTGTAAGACATGTAGAGTAAATGGTCCAAATTGTCCCCTGGGATGTCTGTTTATCTTTTAAAGATTGCAGAAGAAATGTGGATACTAGTTCAGACTAGGCAGCTGACCTTTAGATGACTACAAGCAGAGGAGAGGAGTTGGGTCTTAATGTCTTCTGTAGGAAATAGGTTAAGTTTTATCCTTATGCTCTGTTCGAGGATAGAGGCAGTCTTTCCCAGGACATTTTAGTTGTTGGTTTACATGGGGTGAACTATTGAAAGAGATGCACAGAAATCTGAGGTCCTGATCCCAGGGCTCAGGAATCAGCTGTGCTAAAAATGCTTGCATTCAATGTAACAGCAAAGTGAATGAAAGAAATTATCTAGCTTTTAGAATGCCCCAAAGTCATAAATATGAGCAACCAGAAGGAGGCACATATGTTTCTAAGTGATCATTCATTTGATCCAGGACTGCTAGGGAACATCATATTCAAATTCCTTCCCAGTGTGTTCCCCAAATCCATCCTGCATTTAGAAAAGGCAGCTTTATGTTTTTCATGCTTCACTGAAGTGATACAAAGGATTTAAGCCTATGCAAGAGCCCAGTCCTTCATGGCTTTATGGACTCTGAGAAATGCATCATAAATGACTGGTGTAACATGACTGCTGGAGACTAAATTGAGTTTTCTGGCACTTCAGGTAGATTTTAAATAGAATGAAATTGATACAGAATTAGCATAATGTTTAAAATTACCTCACTGTACTATTTTTGTCCCCTTCCAGAATATCACTGCACTATAAGTAATTAACTTTTGTCAAAACAGATCATGTTTGCTCTAATGCAGATGATCAGCAAACAGTGTTGGGCAAACTGTAGCGCACTGTAAATTTTAAAGGAACTTTAAAGGACTTTGTAGCAGTGTATTTATTTCACTATGTAATAAACTGGTCTTTAGAAGAAGTTCTTTTGGCTGCTAGTTTTTATCTTTTCTGTCAAACATTTAATCTTTGTGGAAATCTAGATTGTGAAATTAAGCTAAACTTTTTATACATGGAGAAATTACACTGTTTTCTGTTCATTCTGTTCATGCTACAGCAGTTTTAGGGTCATCATTCAAGATTCCTGTATTTTTGAGAGACTTGTGATTTTCTGAAATGTTTTTAGCTGTTTCAAGTTCAGTCCAGTCCTCTAGAATTTCAGCAGGGGCAGGTTCGGTGTGCAGATTACCTGCGCATCCCACAGTCAGCTCATTATTAACTCCAATAAAAAGCCAATTTTGTTTTCGTTACTCTGTTGCTAAATCAGTGCGCTCATTTTCACTTTGGCTGGATTTGTATGTGGTTTCATTCTCATTTTGGTGATATAAACCAGGATAACAGTGTACAGTTTTAGCAGTAGTTCTGTGGTTTTGACCTGGAGGCTCTTAAGGGTTCTTTGTGGGTTTGTGTTTTTTTTTTACCTTGGAGTCTCTTTCTCTGACTACAATTCACTTGCCTTTCCCAACAGGTCTATATATGCAGTAACAATGTTCAGGCTCGCCATCAAGTTATTGAACTTGCCCGTCAGCTTAGTTTTATTCCTATCGATTTGGGGGCATTGTCATCTTCAAGGGAGATTGAAAACTTACCTCTGCGACTGTTCACACTGTGGAAGGGGCCTGTGGTGATTGCCATTAGCCTGGCAACGTTTTTCTTCGTCTATTCCTTCATCAGAGATGTAATCCATCCATACGTGAGAAATCAGCAGAGTGACTTTTACAAGATCCCCATTGAGATCGTGAACAAGACACTACCAATTGTTGCTATCACTTTACTCTCTCTAGTGTATCTATCAGGCCTTATTGCAGCTGCTTATCAGCTTTACTATGGTACTAAGTACAGGCGATTCCCACCTTGGCTGGGCAACTGGCTCCAGTGTCGAAAGCAGCTTGGACTGCTCAGTTTTTTCTTTGCAACAGTGCATGTGGCATACAGCCTCTGCTTACCTATGAGGAGGTCAGAGCGGTACTTGTTCCTCAATATGGCGTATCAACAGGTAAGCTGATCTTTAGTTCAGTAAGCCAAAAATGCCTTGGCTGTATGCATATGGCTCACGAATACAGTATATATGTTTTCTTAATCTGTTCCACTGTTTTCAGTGGAGAATGATATGCCTTATGCGTAGCTAGTGCCAAATAAGAAGGGAGACTAAAAGAAACATCTGTGTGTTGTGCTCACCTCGTGGGTCAAGCTGCAGTCAAGTTTGTGTGGTAGGGGGAATCAGGGATGTGTCCTACTTAAATCCCTGATAGTTATGCGCACAAGGGGAATGTAGGATAGACAGGATAAGAGTAACAGCAGGAAACTTCTGAGGTATGTTAACGGTTGGACTTGATGATCTCAGAAGTCTGTTCCAACCTAATGATTCTGTGTTTCTGTGTTCCTCTCTATGTATACTTAGCATGTGGGGGAAGTATGTATATCCTAAGTGCATTTACAGGTGTGAAAAGTATAAGGTTAGATACTGTAATAGTGCTTACAGATACAGCTGTGCTTACAAAATGACAATGCTGTTACTTTGTGACATTCTGGACCAGTGGTAGAAATATTTTATTCATTAAAAATTCTGTGAACATCATCTGTTACAGGCAATAGAGATTGACTCACAGTTCCCAGGAGCAATTGGTCTTGCATAACCCTGAAACAATCTCCAACAAATCTGTCATCCTTTAGAAAAGGGTCTGATGCTCCTGTCTGTCAGTGAGGTAGCTTATTGTCACCTTCAAAGTGGCAGAAAAGCAGCATTGCCATTCAGCACATGAAATCTGCAGGAGAGATGTGATGTAACAGAAAGAAAAGCAAACTAAGGAAATCAAATCAAATGGAACAAGTTAACGGGAGTTGGGTCCACACATTCTAAAAGGGCTAGCGTGAAAAATTGAACTTAAGAGAAAGGCAGGAAGAGCAACACTATAAAAAGCAGCAAGAAACGGTAATTGTTCACTCTTAGTATTAGGAAAGGACCCACTGGTACTTTTACTAAAAGAAATTATCTTGGTTTTAATAATATTGTAAAACTCTCACTTGCTAATATTCCTAGTGAACCTCTTTCAAGACATGCCATATCACAATAGTTTACCTGCAAGTAGAAAAATAGTTGAATATCCAAGCCTCTTAATTGTTAAGGACTTGAGCTGTTTCTATTTTCTGGTAAAGCTCTCCAACCTCCCTGGATGTATCTGATGTCAACAGTGAAAGAGGCAAAATAGCTTGGACTCAGCATAGGGAGCTGAAGCAAAAACAGAAAACGATGCTAAGCTGTTTCTAAATATAACAAACTAAAAACAAATTGCAGGTTTACCCAACTGATGTTACAGAATTTAAGTTTCCAGGGTCTGAAGAAGACAGCTACTTTTCTACAGTATATACGAATGAGCAGATTTATCTGGTTTTATAACATAAGTATATACGTTATAAGTAGTATATAATGTTACATTTTCTTTTAACAACTCATCTAAGTTTCCAGGTTTAATGTATTTTTAATCTAAAAAGAGCCAATACCAGCAGTAAGGAAATAGTAATTTTTCTCCAAGACATGAGGAAACCTCTGAAATATTTGACCCCATTTTATAGTTGTCCCATGACTGTAGAATTTTACTCAGCACAATAACTTCTGTCGATATATTTGATATTCTGTAGAATAAAGTGCTTCCTTTCTGCTCTTTCATCAGGTTCATGCAAATATTGAAAATTCTTGGAATGAGGAAGAAGTGTGGCGAATTGAAATGTATATCTCCTTTGGAATAATGAGTCTTGGATTGCTTGCTTTGCTGGCAGTAACTTCCATCCCTTCAGTAAACAGTGCCTTAAACTGGAGGGAGTTCAGTTTTATTCAGGTGTGTTCCTTTTTAAATAAGGGGGAGGGGGGTGTTGTTAATAAGAATTCCTTAATCATGATCATGATCATGATCACGAACAAAAGCACTTTGCAACATGATGAGAGCTTTTTTTTTCCCCCTCTCTCTGCTAAGTTAATAAAAACAATTCCGCAGGAGTTACCATGAAGGCACATTAAGCATTTCATAAGTGTTAGAATAGAAATCTGCATTTTTTACTTCTTAGTCTTAAATAGCCAACATAGCTAAGACCAAATGAGCTTTCATTTCACTATTCCTTTTCCATTGTTAGAATTTCTTGCTAAATTTAAATTAGGTAAATTTGGACAAATTCACTAAAGGCAATGTTATTCATGAGACAGTACTGTATGAAGACACAAACAACTATTCAAATTGAAGACTTAGTTTGTCCTGCAGGATGTTTATTGCACAGCCCTCTGACAGCCATGGTGTCATTGATTCAGTTTTGTTTCCCCTCCACTGTGTGGGAATTAATACAGCTCTCAACTGTATTATTCCCATTAGCAGAAAATACCCACTAGTAAAGTATGAAGCTTTGTTTATTAAAAGCAGAGGCTTTTCCAGGTCCTGGCATGCCTTCTGCTGCCATCCTTCCTCAGATAAATATCTACAACAGGCAGGCCTAACCAGCAGAAAATACTGAGAAATCTAGGCTTTAGTAAACAGCTTAATGTTTGCTTTCAAACAAAATTGCTATTAGTTTTAGGTAGCAGTCAGTGATAAGAAATTTTATTAGGATTTGGTCTTGTGATAAATCTCCTAAGTGTGAACACGCAGTTTTGGGTTTTGTTATGTTTTGGGTTTTCTCTGACTTTGGAGTCAGTACTCTAGTCCTAACTCGGTCTTTTCTGTAATGTTTTTTTCAACATAGCCACTGTTATAATAATGCCTAATTCTTAGTCCAGTCACTATTTACAAATTCCTACCTTCAGAACACAGCCACTGACTTTGCTGTTCAGGGCTTGAGTTGTGCTTCATAATTTACAGACATTTTAAACAGAGGGATGGGCAACACTTCTTTGGCATAGGTGTCAGAGCTCTTCTGTCTGTAAAGTAATGTCTTCCCTTCCCCTAGGGTTTCTGTTGGTGGAACACTCCAGGTAGGCCTACAAAAAGTTTGCTGAAAAATTTTTTAAATTAGAGTTCCCCGGACAGAACTGCTTATTCTTGCTCGTGGTTTTGAGCCTTCAGAGAGAGTAAATACCCGTTCTGCATTGTTACAACATCCCTGCCATCCAGAGCAATCTGTGCAGGGACAATAGTGCTGCTGTTGGGTGATGTAAAACATTTGTGCAAGAGGGAAAAAATATGTATTCACTCATGAGTGAGGTGATGCCTTTATCCGGTAATCACTTCCAGCCACAAACTCAGCATTTGTGTCTTATTTTTCCTTACTCAAATTTCAGGCTTGTGTGACTGAGTCAAAACCCACACAGTAATCAGAGTGATGTGTCTACAAGGGCATTTTTATTGTGTGTTATTTACTGCAATTATTTCCACTGTAAATAAAGTCAAAATAGTTCCAAATTTAAATAATTATAAACTTTAATGAATCATCTGTAAGTATTTTGAGGAATTTGATTGGGAACAAGTTGTTTGCTCTGGAGGTATGTTACAGCTGATAGTGCATTACATGCTGAAGAGAACTGGAATTAATAATTAATTATGATTATTTGCAATTTTTAATCACAAAAAATAGTGAACTACTAAAAAATTCCTTAATGATGATTAAAGGTACTTTACTTTGTTATTAGTTACTTGTCAGGATGTAAGTAAGTTGTTCTTCAGTTAGTTACTTGTCCTTTAAAAAAGTCCTCTTGCCTTATGCAATCAGAAGACAGACTTTCAGTGATCCTCACTAAAGTAAAAGGAGTCTGCACAAGCTTCATTGTACCCAGTATGCAAGTAGAACAGACAAAACATTGTAATACTTACTGTCTTTTATATTTGTCTTCTGCTGGGGTGTACTATGATGAAGTTAATTTGAACTTAGTTTTCTCAGTCTTCTCTAAGTCAGGGGGACAAACAGCAGAATTATTAGCCCATCATCTCAGTGCTATTTTTTTTTTTAGCTCAGAAAAGCAGTATGTCTCTAGCTTTAGTCCTGAATCCTAGATGATTTTGTGTTTGCAGGGCTACAGGCTTGGGGATGAGTGGCTGGAAAGCTGCCGGGTGGAAAAGGACCTGGGGGTGCTGGTCGACAGCCGGCTGAACATGAGCCGGCACTGTGCCCAGGTGGCCAAGGCGGCCAACAGCATCCTGGCCTCTATCAGAAACAGCGTGGTCAGCAGGAGTAGGGAGGTGATTGTGCCCCTGTGTTCGGCACTGCTGAAGACTCACCTCAGCTACTGTGTTCAGTTTTGGGCCCCTCACTACAAGACATTGAGGTGCTGGAGCATGTCCAGAGAAGGGCAACGAAGCTGGTGAAGGGTCTGGAGAACAGGTCTGATGAGGAGCAGCTGAGGGAACTGGGGTTGTTTAGTCTGGAGGAGGCTGAGGGGAGATCTGATTGCTCTCTACAACTACCTGAAAGGAGGTTGTAGCGAGGTGGGGGTCGGTCTCTTCTCCCAAGTAACAAGTGATAGAACAAGAGGAAACGGCCTCAAGTTGCACCAGGGGAGGTTTAGATTGGACATTAGGAAAAATTTCTTTACTGAAAAAGTGGTCAAGCACTGGAACAGGCTGCCCAGGGAAGTGGTGGAGTCACCATCCCTGGAGGTGTTCAAAAAACATGTAGATGTGGCACTTTGGGACATGGTGTAGTGGCGTGGTGGTGTTGGGTTGATCTTAGAGGTCTTTTCCAACCTAATGATTCTATGACTCTATGTTTTGCCACAATAATTGCTGAACTTGTTTTGCATCTGACAGCTGAAGAATCGGTCAGCATGTCAGACAGTGTCTCACCTCAGCACCTCCTACTGAGAACAACATACTATTGCTTGCTCATCTCAGTAAATACAGTTGCATTAAAATAAGGGTCTGGCCTCTTCTAAAGAGTTTTGCCACTAAAACGCACTCAGTCTTGAGTCCTACTAGGAAAATCTGAGTTTATGATTAACAAATTATTAACATATACAGTATAGACTATTTTCTAGCCTTGCTCCAGTAGTACAAGCCCTGAGCAGCATCTCCCCTACCTACAGTGGTTCAAACAGACCTCTAGCACAGTCTTCCTAATACCGTAAAGAAACCCCAGTTGTGAATGTTTTTACCCAGAAATCATTGCTGTCTTTGATATCACCAATTGTTTTGGAGATGCCTCCATCTCACCTAGCCTGGTTTCACAGGTTTCAGCAGCCCCCAAAATTCCAGCCTGTTTCATCAAGGTAGAAGGACTTTGAGAGAAGCAGCAATGCAGGCTATGAATGAAGGGAGATATGAGAAGATTGAATAGTGATGCAAAAGGAAGTTACTGTGTCAGCCCTACCAGGAGTTAAGAGACCAGCAGAAAACTTGGAGTTGCTGTGGTACAGAGCTGACCACTGTGCAGAACAAGTATCTGATTACTTCATCAGGATTCAGAGAAATACACTCATAACATCCAGATGTAGGAGCCACAGAATGAGACAGTGATGAAGAGTTTGCTCAGTAGGAGATCCTAGGTCATGGAAACTTAGCATGAAATTTTGCAGGCATCTTAACATGACCCAGAGTTGGAGCTTACTGAGGAAAGAAGCAGGGAAGAAGCTGAAGATGGTAAACTAATGCATCAGTTTTCATAAACGCCACCTCAGTACTCTTCTTTTGCTTTTCTAAACATATTTGGATAAGGAACAAAGGTAGACACGGTCAAGAAATAAAAAAGAATTCATATTTTGTCAGAGCAGGCAGAATAACTAGCCTAAACCAACACACTGCAAACAGAAACCATTCCTTAAGTGTTCACGTAGAATACACTTCATAGGTTCCATTTTGACCTTTAGATAGAAAGACGTATACAGATGTCTCAAAGCTGTAGTTTGCAGATGGAATTTAAATAAGCATTCAAAAATTTAAAAAAAAAATTGGGAAGAGTCTGTGTAGCATTTCCCTCCTGTTGTTTTTTTAGGAATTGTTAAAGTTCTTATCAGTAAGCCTGATGAAGAAATGAGGGATATGATTCACTTGTGCCGTTTTCCCTGCTGGCAGTGATAGAACAGCAATGAATTCAGGACAGTCATACCAGCAAAACTCTGCAATACCATACTTAAACATCAGGTTTTGACAGTATTGTTCGCTGTCCAAATTTCTTACCAGAACTTCTGTTCAGATACTGCAATGTGCCATTTTCATATTCACAAGTGGTTATCTGATTGTTTTGTCTCCTATGGAATATTTTGGGAGCAAATTGTTCTTTTTAAAAAAAGGGTGCTGCATATCTAAAGCGTACAAGCACGGCTCTGAAACCGTTGGCAAAAAATGCATAAATACTGGCAAGCTAAAAAAACACGGTACCAGTCTCTAGAAATTAACACAAGTATTTTGCATTTTATACCATTATATCTGTGAATTTATATCATTATATCTGTGAATGGTATTAGCTCAGACATTCTCCTTTCCCCAGAAACTTAATCTTGATGTAGAAAGAATCAATTCTTTCACTATTATAGATCCTTAGGATGCATTTTTCTTTGCCTCTCTGTTTACTGGAACTAAACCAAACTTCAGTAGCCAGTTACCTTTCTTAGTATTCATCCTCTTTTTCGATGATTTTCTACAAATGTTTCCAAATCAAGTTAGTCATTACATCAGTTTTAGCCAAAAAGAGTTTTTCTTCATTTGATCACCACCAGAATTCAAAGCATTACTTTGGAAAATCTTTGGGAAAGCCAAGGTTAATACATTTAACTCAAAGCTGCAGAGCAATATAACCACAGGGTTCTTAAAAGGGCAGATTCACAGGCCTGATGAATGACCCCTATTAGCAGTACCTGCTGTGGCATGCTCTGGATTATGTGATAAGAGGCCCTCTGCAGGGTGCTGTGGGAGCCTTCTGCTTCACTACCTGTTTATTATAAACTGCATCGTTGCCTTGTGCCATTAGCCCAAGTCCTGCAGCCCAGGTATTCCCAGTCATCAGTAGGTAACAGGTGATGGAGAAAGGTAAGGGACAGTTTATGCTAACTTCAGGCATGTGGATGTAGGCCATCGTGAGGGAGAAGCAAACTGCACCTCTCAGAGTGATAAAAATCTGGAGTGCTAGGCCCAGATCACTTCTAGCAGAATTGCATTGTTCCATAATCACGAACCTCGGAAGTGACCCACCCTTGTAGTTAAGAAACAGGGAATTTAATTTCCAATCGCAACTGATGTTGTTCCAATAAGTTCACTGGGATTGTTCCTTATTCGCATACATATCCTGACTTCCATTACTTAGAACTTGGCAAACATCATCTTCATTTCACCTTTGACTGAGGCCTATAGATGCTAGCAGAGATATGTTGTAAATTAGCATTCAGTCCGTAGTTTTTGGAACATGTGAGCTTAAAAGCACCTATTGCAAATTTAAAATAGCGTATAGGTAGAGTGTAACATGAAATGTTACAATAATGGATTAGAGCTTTGGATGAAGGAAAAAGTACTATTATCACTTCTTTTTTCCCTGTTTTCTCTTTTTCAGTCGACGCTTGGATACGTTGCTCTGCTCATAAGTACTTTCCATGTACTGATTTACGGATGGAAAAGAGCTTTTGAAGAAGAGTATTACAGATTCTATACGCCGCCAAATTTTGTTCTTGCCATTGTGCTGCCTTCCATTGTAATTCTAGGTAAGATCATTTTGCTTTTGCCATGTGTAAGTAGGAAACTGAGGAGAATTCGAAGAGGATGGGAGAAAAGCCATGTTACAGAAGAAACAAGTGGATCTGTTCCACATCTCTCCCCGGAAAGGATAACTGTCATGTAATGATAGACTACTATTTGTTAGCACTCTCGTAGATGTTTGGTTGTTTTTTTCATAAACTTGTATTTTTTGGAGTTTAGTTAAAGTATGAGTAAAGTCATTGTGGACTTGCTCGGCTTATAGTACAAGCTCTCAACCAAACTATGAGAAATTTATAACTAAAAGACTGCTACTTCAGATAACTACAAAAATGTTTTTGTTTTGAATTACAGAGGGCAGATGATTATGAAATCAGAATTTTTTAATGCTCCTTTGCACAGTTATATCCCAACAGTATTTTATTATAAACATGCTTCCAGATATTACTTTGACTTAGAACATATATGTCAGAATGCTGTTTATTCATACCACATTTTCTGGGCAGTGTTTCTTTTATTAAAACCACAATTCTGGGTTAGTGAGTTCAGAATATAGGCTAATAGAGTTAATAATTTAGGAAATAATCAGGTTTTGAAGCAACTTAATTTGTAATGACGTATTGCACATGTACAGTATAATTATTTGTGTGTGGTTTTACACCATTCCATGATTTGAATATGCAAACCCAGTTTCAATTATGGTGTAATTGTAGGATTTTAGACCTTTGGCATCTCTTTATTTCCGTGCATCATATAATGAAAAGTCAAAACAATGTTGTACATGTCTAGAAAGACATGCAGATATGTGTGCAAGCAACTAATTTTTGATTTTAGAATGATTTAGAAATATAAGGAAATATTTTAAAACAAAACAACAAAAAAACCAACTGAGAAATCTGCAACAATAAAAATCCATTTTCATGGTGAAACTTCCAGTATGTTGGTACAACAAGGAAGCATCACAATACTCATGTTCTATATGTTTCTACACTGGAGTTTCATTTATTATATATGAATTTCCCAGAGTCTGACTTATATTCCTAGTATCTTTTTGTGCAAATTCAATCTTCTATTTTTATATAAAAGTCTTACTTTTACAACAGGTCTCTCTGGGATATGCCTGAATTTTTGAGAAACAAAATTGTTATTCTTATATTAAAAATGAATTTATCTCTGAAACTTGACATTTGCATTTTCTGTGGGATTCAAAAGAACGTTCACAATTATTTATTACTATTCCTTTGAGACGTTCTGCTCTTCTCTAACAAAATAGCCAAACTCAACTCATACCTTCAGGCTACTCCTGCTTAATTAGCAAACCCTTTATTTCAGTGCATCAGAATGTGTATTTGGTTGTAATTTTCTTTAGTTGTATGAAATTATATTTTTCTTATCTATACTTGCACTGTTTAGGATCTCTGGCTTTCTTAGCTGAACCTTCGCTTATTATTTATTAATTTGCAAGAATTTGTCATTGATATGATGCATCAGGAATATACAGTGCTTATGCTTGAATTTATCCTTAAACATGACTAGTCCTGTAAATCTCATTATCTCTGTTTGGAATGAAACCAACAGCTCCACAGAACAAGAAGAATCTCAAATCAAACTCTGCCCCCAGTTACACCAACCTAAATCTAAAGAGTTCATGTAAGTTGTTCTAAATTTCATTTCAAATTACAAAAATCTACAATTTTGTTTTCATTGTAATATCCATATTCCCCAAACTTAGCCATCAAGCCTGTGTATATTTGTTTGCCTGGGTTTGTTGCAAATCAAGAGACAGTTGAACATTCTTTCATTTTAAGCATGTTCAAATATAGAGATGAAAAATAAAATATTTGCATTATTTTTTCCAGAATTAAAGCATTTTTTATAAGTCTTTAAACATGTTTTGTATTGAACAAGTTGTCAGTGAATTCTTTTTGAAAATGGAGGTTTGTGAAAACATGTTGTTGAAAAAATTAGTTCAATTATATTTCATGCGTGTCAACAAAACTTTGAGGGGTTTTCAGTTCAAATTTTCAGCTTCAAATAGTTGGAAAACTCAGATTTATCCTCCTTTTTAAGCTATGGAGGGGAAGCAATTGGAAAGAGAAAATTCTGATAATAAATGATAACAACAGCTATAATTGGTCAGACTGAGGTCTTTGAGACTTGTCTCCAATAGCTGACAAATGGCAGATGCTTCCAAAAAGAGGGCACATGTCCAGTGATTCTTCTCCTGACATAATCTCTCAGCCTCTTGGAAATCAGTAATTTAGGACTTAACTTGAGACAGGCGCTGCCTCTGGACTATTGTATTTAATAGCTACTTCCTCCAAAATTTTATCTAACTTTTTTAGAAATTTGAAACCCCCAGTTTTTTACAGGCAAAGAAAGGCAAAGATGGAAAAGAAAAAAAGAAAGTTTAATAAATCTATCAAATGAATAAAATAAGTTTGCCTTCTTTTTTTTTTTTCCAAAGCCAAATCAGTTAGTTTCAAGGCACTAATTTTATTGTCCCTCCTCCAATATGCAGCTGTTTCAGCAATACCTGTGGTGATATACAAGCATAATACTATTCTATCAAACTTTCTAGATGTTAAGTGAAAAACCTGTCATTGTTGGAGACAGACAGGAGCCTAAACTGGTATGAATGAGTTTTTCACATAAAACTCACAGAATGGTAGGGGTTGGAAGGGACCTCTGGAGATCATCTAGTCCCACCCCCCTGCTAAAGCAGGGTCACCTACAGCAGGTTGCACAGGATAGCATCCAGACAGGGTTTGAGTATTTCCTGGGAAGGAGACTCCACAACCTCCCTGG